CGTCATATCTGACATCCTACCCCTCCCTCCCATCCCTTACCATGGCGTAGATCCCCTCTCTACTCGCACAGTCGGATGTCGAGCAGGGCAATGATCCGGAAAGGGTACGCGATGCATTGTAGAGCACGGCATGGCATGGCGTAGAAGAGCACCGCAAAGCGTAGTATGTCACAGCAGGACGTGGCGTGGCGTAGTGAAGAATTGCATCACCAAGCTTTGCAACGCAAAGCATGGCATCGCACAGCGGCACCGAAGATAACATTGAATAGCATGGCGTTGAAAATCAAAGCGTAGCATGGCATAGCACGACGTGGCCCTTCAGCACTGCATATCACAGCTTCAGCTGAAGGCATGGCATCGCGCAGCGGAACGCAACCTAGCATTGCATTGCATGCCGTGGCATGGCACGGGAAATGCCGCCAGCGCTGCAGCGGGAGCACGATTCGGAACGAGCGGAAGCGCGGAAATGAGGCCAGCGCTGCAGCGGGAGCACGATTCGGAACGAGCGGAAGCACGGAAATGAGACCAGCGCTGCAACGGGAGCACGATTCGGAACGAGCGGGGCCCGAAAATGAGGCCGGCGCCTCAGCGAGAGCAGCATTCTGAAAACAAATGCAGGCGAAAACCCAACTCCGGGGAATCCTATGCAACCAAAACAATACGCGGTGGGGGAAGGGGGGGGGGCGAAACACTCCCAACCGTCATCAGGGGAAGAGGGAGAGTAGTATTCAGATTGAGTAATTGTGGAGGAGGAGGAGGAGGAGGAGGAGGAGGAGGAGGAGGAAGACGAGGAGGAGGAGGAGGAGGAGGAGGAGGAGGAGGAGGAGGAGGAGGAGGGAGGGAAGGGGGGGAGGGAGGAGGGGAGCCTCGCCGCGGCGAGGCGCGCACGCGCCGCCCCCGCGCCGTGGGTCGCGCGGCGGACGGGCGCGCCGCGCCGCCGCTGCGCACGCAGCGCCAGCGGCGCGGCCGCCGCGGCGAGGGGCCCCGGCGGGCTCGGTGCGGCCCGGCGCGGCCCTCGGCGCCCGCCCGCGGCCCTCGGCGCGGGGCGGGCGGGGGAGGCGGGGGCCTGCGGGGGTCAAGACCCCTCGATGGTCCGTAACTGAGGGGGCACATGCGAACCCTACCCCATGCCCCCCCCCGATTTCTGCGAGGGAGGGCGGGGTTCACTTCGCTCGGGAGCTCCTGAGCGAAGTGAACCCCACCCTCCCCCTCAGAAATCGTGGGGGGTAGGGGTAGGGTTCGCATGTGGCCCCCTAGAAAGGCTCGCGGCGGGAGGCTTCTCGCTAGTTTCGGCCTCTGGGGGCCCCCCTCCGGGCCTCGGGAGCGTGAGAGAAAACGGCTCGGGACGACCAGCCGATCATGGGCCCAGAGATCCGATGCCGTGATTCTTTCAAGGCGGGGTCCCCGGACTCGTCGACCCATTCCCCAGGACCGGCTTTCATTCTGAGTCGTGTTTTAACGGTCCCGGGGCCCGGTGACGGCCCTTAGATCGGGTGTTGGCAGGACTGGGTATACTGGGACCTAGTTTAGGGATGTGTACCAAGGGGGGCCCCCCCCGCCCCGTTCCGCTAACCGGAACTGCCGTCACCCGAAAAACACCACTTACGGCAAACCTGGTTTGGTGAATCTCGCCAATTGAGGGGGCCCAGGGCCCTACCACTATAACCGGGTCCCGATTACCCGGGGTCCTGGCTATACCCGACGAGAGGCCGAAAGTTACGAAAAACGTCCGTCTTGATTTTTTCAATACGTTGGATCTCTGGGGGAAAGGGTCGGGACCTCTAGGGGTCGACGTCATGCAGAAAAAAACATGACGTCGGGGGCCTGCGGGGAAGGAGAGACCCACATCGGGCGCGGCTGCGCCGACCCCTGGCAAACCATCCCCTTCTTCCGTGACGTCATCCTCGCCTTCGGAACTCCCCTCCGACCGCATGCATACGTCTTGGGGGGGCGAGGGGGACGTCACGGACGGGGATGGTGATGGTTTCCCAGGAGTCCGTTAGGCCGTCCCTGGCCATATCCTCGGAGGAGGTGGTAGTTTAACATCGGGCGTCTGGGAAGGATCGAGGCGTTCAAAGCACCTGGCCGAGGACCCGGCCGAGGATCTCCGAGGGTTGGGCTTTACCGAACCCAGACCCCCTCGAGTCAACAAATCACGACGGGAGGTTTCTCGCTATTTTCAGCCTCTGGGGGACCTTGCAGGGCCCCGGGAACATCGAAAAACGACTCAGGACGAAAAACCAGTCCTGGGGGAGCCCAGATCTCAGAGGTTTGGCGTTGCCTGTGGGGGAGCGACGAACGGGGGGGCGAATAAACGTGCATCTTTCGCGGCTCGTTCAAGGTCGAATTCCGTCGGGTCCAATCGCGCTTCCACGTCTAACCTTGAACGCCTTCGCTGGCGTCGTCGGCGCGCCATCGCCGCATGAACATGCCGTGTATCCTCGGAGGTATTCCAACCTCGGGCATCTGGGAAGAATCGCGGTCTGGGCGTTGCCCTACGTGCCTACCTACCAAACCACCCCAATCCAACCCGAAAACCGGAATTTCGGGTTGGAGTTAGGTCGGGCATGTCCCCCTACAGGGGGGTCTTGTGCGAAAAATATATAAAAAAGCTCCCCTGATGCATAACAAATACTACAACAAATCGACGTGTCAGGGTAGGAGGTCTGTCCACCTCCGACCAGTTGGGCTGCTGAAGTCAGGAGCGCTGAACGAGGAACGAAGCCTTTCTGTGGCTTCAGAGAAGCCTGGGCGCACGAGGAGGGCTCGAGGAGCAGCCACGGACGTAGGGCACATCGAGCCCCTTCTTTGTCAGCGTCTTGGCTGTTCCTCCTCCTCCTCCTCCTCCGAAATCTTCCCCCTGCCTTGTAAGCCCCAGGGGGGGTCTGCATCTTTCCCGCGAGCAAAGGGGGCCCTGCTGTCCGCGCGAGGCAGTTCGAAGGCAGACTTCAGATCAAATGGCGCGGAGCGCTTGCCTCGGCACGCCATTTGCCGCGGCGCCAGCAGCTGCTCTGACGGCACGTCCCGCGTCGCAAGGTCCGCGACTGTCCCAGACCCCCAGGTGCTCACAACCCCTGCCGAGGGACCGGCCCATTCAGGTTCCTCCTCCTCCTCCTGCTCCACTTCCTCCTCCTCCTCCTCCTCCTCCTCCTCCTCCTCCTCCTCCTCCTCCTCCTCCTCCTCCTCCTCCTCCTCCTCCTCCTCCCCCCCTCCTCTCCTCCTCCTCCTCCTCTCCTCCTCCTCCTCCCCTCCTCCTCCGAAAGTATTCCCCCTGCCGAGGGACCGGCCCGACGGAGCGCGCTGCAGGCACCGGCCGCGCGGCCACCAGGAGGAGGGGAAAGAGGAGGAGGAGGAGGAGGAGGAGGAGGAGGGAAGAGGAGGAGGACGAGGAGGAGGAGGAGGAGGAGGAGGAGGGGAGGAGGAGGAGGGGGAAGAGGAGGAGAAGGGGGAGAGGAGGAGGAGGAGGAGGAGGAGGAGGAGGAGGAGGAGGAGGAGGTGGAGCAGGAGGAGGAGGAGGAGGAGGAGGAGGAACCTTAGTCGGGCGTGTCCCTCTACAGGGGGAGTATCCAAGAGTAGGCAAAAATCAAGGGGCCCTGGGCTCAGCGGGCCCTGGAAACGACAGGGGCCCGCCGTTTTTGTTACCGGTTCCGTGTTGCCGTTTTTGTCACCGGTTCTGACGCCGTTGTGTTACCGGTTCCGTCGCCGTTCTTTGACAGGTTCCGGCTCCGGTTCCAATCCTGGAGCCGTTTTGTTGCCGTTTCCAGTCGCCGTTTTTGTGCCGTTTCCATTTTCAAGGCGCATTTTTTTTGGAAACGGTGAAAAAACGGCCCTGCTGTTTCCGGGGCCCACAAAGGCCCTGGGACACACAAATAAATACACACAAATAAAGGATTCCCTTTATATTTTCCTACATTTTCTGGGTTTCTGTCTTCCCCCCCACTTGCCATATTTCCCCATATTTTCCTGGGAATCGACGATTAATTGTGTTTGTATGTTTTTTTCCCCTCCTGACAGGTTTCAGTCGGGCGCGTCCCTCTACAGGGGGAATAGTCAAAGAAAGTCAAAAAATTAGTCGGGGGGCTATGGTTTGGCTATCTCTTTGGAGCCTTTTGGGCGCATGTTTTCTGGGTATGTTTTATGTATGTTTCGTCGACGAGCCCCCTGTAGGGGGACAGGCCCGACTGAAGCCCAGGTCTGCGGCACGGCCACGCAGACCAGCGCCCCTGCGGAACCCAAAGCTCGGAGGCGAGCCCCGACCCCCTCGAGTAGTGACAAAAGTCACGCCGGGGAATTGTGTGTCGTTGTCTTCGGCCCTTTGGGGGCCCCTGCTGGGCTTATGTCAGGCGTGTCCCCCATACAGGGGGATTTTCGACGACAAACGAAAAATGCTCCAAAAATGCTCTCCCAAAGGCCAGAAAATACCAAAAAAATAGTCCCAAGACTATTTTTTCAGTATTTTTCCCATGTTGTTGTATCTTGTATTTTCCGTCGAAAATCCCCCTGTAGGGGGACAGGCCCGAAATAACCTTCGGGGGCCCCTGCTGGGCCTCGGGAGCGTCAAAAAACGACTCGGGATGCGAAGCTGGTCGTGGGGAAGGTGTCGGGGCCTCTGGGGGTCGACGTGATGAACAAATCATTACATCGGGGGTCTGGGAGCGAGGGGGGGAAGTGAGACTAGAGGCCTCCCAGATGGGGTCGGAGTAGATGGGGTCGGAGGATCGCGCCGCATCGCCGATGCATCGGCGATACATCGGCGATGCATCGGCGATGCACCGGCGATGTATCCTCGACGGCGGCAATGTACTGGCGACGTCGGCGTGGGGAAACATGGGCTGCACATCGAGCCGCATCGCCGATGCATCGGCGATGAGGCGCGATCCTCCGACCCCATCTACTCC